CTTTCTGTGCGGGCATTGCCCCCACCGCCCGCACCGCGGGCGCTTAGCTAGTATATATATATATATATATATATATATACATATATATATATATATATATATATATATATATATATATATGCAAGGAACATGAATATGGATGAAGCACAGAAATCCAGATTGCAAAATCGCACTGAAGTCCAAGTAGTCAAAGCAAGAGCAGATAGCACAATGGGACCGAGTAACCATCCATTTGAAAACGATACAGAAGAATCGTGAGTCAATATCCAAGCCCAACAGCGCAACACCAACAACATAACCCAATGTAGCTCTCTCTCCTTAATGGCGCCAGGCGCCCTATCTACTCTACAGCCTAAGCCTACAACTATAGTAATGAAAGCAACCTGACAACTTGACTACCAGCGAGTGATGATGTCAACACCAATGCCGACCTTCACCTCCCCCAGCTACGTCTCTCTCCTTCACCCACACTCTCCCTTGTTATCCCACACAACACCCTTCACCTCCGAAGAACCACCTTCGCCCTCACCTCCCTTGGGCCCTTAGGCAGCCCGGCTATGGCCGCCAGCGCCCTGTGCACACGCAACGCCCTACCGCCTAGCGCCTGCCTGCCTCGCACCTCATCCTAGCGCAGCGCAGCAGCTCGTATTAGCGCAGCGTGCCGGCATTGACCGCAATGGCCAAGATCCCTGCCTATATGCCAGTGTTGCGTGTGGGCGGCCTCCCTTTAGCCTGCGACTGGGCCCAAGTGCCTGAACCTAGGCCCGATGCAGTTGGGGCCCGGATGATGCAGTTGCGCCTCTTTCGTCAAGGCCTGCGGCCAGATTCAGATAGTGGGCCGATTTCCCTTTGGCATTTTCGGCCTCTATACCCAGCATGCATTGTCGGCCTCACGTTCAAGTACCCAGGGCCTAACTAACTCAGAGGCTCTGGGATCTCCACATTTGCAGAGATTCGAGACTCGGTGCACTCCAACCAACTTACGTGCTGCAACTGCATGAACCCCACTTCGTGAAATGTTTGTACAGAGGGCTCTTGTTGATTTGCTGGCCCGCCTTCACTTAGGGCGGACACTAGGCTTGCTGGGGCCTTAGCCCAGAACATGTACATCATGGCAAGGCCCCTTCTTGAGGGCTCAATCCTCACATTCCATCCCCCTTAGCTTCGAAAGTCCGCTGAGATGCTTACTTCGCAGGTGCCTTCCCTTTTAACTTTCTTTCATATTCTGCCACCACTTGAGGAGCTGTGTCAATCAGTTCCTCTCTGGTAAACCACCGATCTTCTTTTGGATCCGTATGATGCCTGAATCTGACGCGATATTCTCTCTTGGGTTTTGGAGGTCTTCCCCTATCCAATGGCTTCTGAACAGGCAGATCTCTGTGATCCACAATGTCGTCGATGTCCACTTGACCATCCATGGTTGGGGGCAGCATCGATCTCCTTGAAGGGAATTGATCGGTCCCAGCGAAAGGTGCAAGCTTTGAGGCATGAAAGACAGGGTGAGTGCGTAGGTGTCTAGGGATATGGATAACATAGGTAGGACCATCCATCTCATCCCCCACCACATCCAGGACTTCCCAAGACCAAAGTACTGAGGCATTAGTTTTCTAGAGATACCGAATTCCTGTCCTAGCTCACTAGCCTTGACCCAGACACGTTTCCCTACCTGAAGTGAGGACTGTCGTCGATGCGTGTTCTCAGAAGCAATCATTGCTTGCTGAGCTTTCTTAATATGCTCGACAGCTTACTGCAACAACTTCTCATACTGCACACCATACTCAAGTGTGCCTGGAGTTGCAAAGGATCGGTTTTCAGGTAGGAGGAATTCTATAGCAGATATAGGCTTCCATCCCAAGTGCAGCTGGTTAGGACTAACGCCGATACTGCTGTGTATACCGTTGTTGTACAGGCTGGCGATGAGAGGCAACTTCTCATCCCAATCATCCTGGCTGGGCTTGATGTAATGCCTCAACAAGTGCTGTACAACTCTATTCATTTGCTCGGCCTGTCCGTTGGTTTCGGGATGATTCCCTGAAGTCATGTGAAGTTGACTGCCCATCTGCTCAGCAGTCTTTTTCCATAGCTCACTTGTGAAACGGACATCTCTGTCACTAACGATTGTCTTTGGTAAACCAAAGTCACACACCCAGTTGTCCTGGAACAACTTGATGACATGGTCCGTTGTTGCGGTCTCTGGCATGACAACTGGTCTAGCGTACTTGGTGAATCGATCAATGATGACGAAGATGTGCCTCTTGCCACTCTTGCTGGTTACCAGGGTATCCATGAAATCCATGGAAACACTCTGTCCTGGACCAGCGGGGATAGGTAAGGGCTTCAACAACCCAAGCGGTGCTTGAGTTTGCGGCTTGTCCCGTTGACAGACCTGACAGGTCTCTACATACTTTTTCTCGTCATCTAGCATTCCAGGCCACCAAAATCGATGTACTAGATTAACACTCGTCTTTTTGTAACCAAAATGCCTGGTTGCGTCATGGCATTCTCCTAAAAACAAACTACACAAACGTTCACTAGATGGAACTACTAGCCTTTTAACACTGGTCTTATCAAGATAAAGTAGTCCATCCACCATCACAAACTCACTTTCTGTGACCTTGTCTTTTGCCTGAAGTTCGCGCATGACGTTCATCGTGACAGGGTCTTCCTGATAGGCTCCCACCAATGATTGGGTTACTTCTTTAGATACACCAAAGTCAGAAACTAGCGCACCTAGGTAGTCTGCCCTACGTGATAGCACATCTGCAACCTTGTTGTACTCTCCCTTCAGATACTCAAGCTTAAAGTCATATTGGTCTATGACTTCGATCCATCGCTTGAGTGCGTCAGAAAGAGCCGGTTTAGTCTTGATCCATTTGAGGGTCTGATGATCAGTCATCACGTAGAAGAGCCTTCCCAATAGGAAGTGTCTCCAATGGACAAGTGCCTTGTAGAGAGCATAGAGTTCCCCTTCGTAGGTGGACTTTGCCAATTTCTTCGATAGCATTTTCTTGCTCATGTACTCAATCGGTCTTAACTTCTTCCCATCCTGCTGAGCCAGCACTGCGCCAATGCCGTATTGGCTTGCGTCAGTGGTCACTATGAACGGCTTCTGAGGATCGGGAACCATGAGAACTTCATGATTCATGAGTGCATGCTTCAATCGCTTGAAAGCACCCTCGCACTCATCACTCAAGTCCCACAGCGTGTCAAGTCGAGTTAGATCTGTCAAAGGAGAGGCGACTGTAGAATAGTTATTTACGAAGTTCCTATAGTAGCCGCACATTCCTAAGAAAGATCTGACCTCAGTGACCGTCTGAGGTCGTGGCCAGTCTCGAATACTTGCCACCTTCACATCTTTCGACCAATCCCTTCCTCGGATACTTCATGACCCAAGTATAATATCTTATTGCGACCAAACCATGGCTACGCCGGACCGGACCCCGGAACGAATCCGGGCCCTGGATCCCAGACTTTCCGGGCCCTCCAGGAACTCCGGAACTCCGGAATGTTCCGGATTCACATTCCAGATGTCTATCCGGATTGACGTATTTTTCGGCAAAAATAAAAATAAAAATAAAAATAAATCATGGTACATTCATACATTACCTCGATCCCGCCAAAAGCTGAAGGACAATACTCCTTCGACGAATCTTGCACCTCGATATTGCCATCCTCCTTCTCATCCTCCCCCTCCTCCTCCTCCTCCTCCTCCTCCTCCTCCTCCTCCTCCTCTACGTCTCGTCAATCCTCTGCGTGGACGAATCTTTCAATGAAAAAAAGAAAAAAAAAATCGATTTCTAGTTCTCTACAACCGGCGACGACGACTATAACGAACATGACGACGATGACGAGAGAGAGAGAGAGGGGGAGAGAGAGAGAGAGACTCTGAGACTCTGAGAGAGAGAGAGAGAGAGAGAGAGAGAGAGAGAGAGAGAGAGAGAGAGAGAGAGAGAGAGAGAGAGAGAGAG